TCAAAAAAGGCTCAATCAGCTAGCCCTTGTCACACAGCTAGTAGAGCACTGAAGTTGGGATTTGACCCYAGTTTTGTCTATAAGGCTGATTGTCTTCCTAGTAGTTCCATGGCACAGTTGAAAAATAACTCTGTTACTCCTTCCTAGATTAAAGTTTCAAAGTTCACTGTCATTTCAAGAATRCATTTTCATGTATCATATGGCTTCTATACCTTCATAGTGCCTGACATTCAGGCATCAGGAACTGTCTGCTAAGTGAATGGGTATAATTTATTTGTACATTTGACGTGCTTCTTATGRTATATGATTAACTTTCATAATATATCTATGACTGTTTCACCCATGGTCCACTTTAYATCAATTACTTTTCTTAAAAAAAAAATGTATTTTCCGTCTCTCTTAACACATGATTTGCCTTTCTGACTGGGAATCAACAGATATTTTTTCCTATAGCTTTTCACTTAAAAAGAAAGCACCCAGGGTATAGTCAGTTCAAAATGGAACCTCTCAGTATCTTCAAAACGTGTGGAAGAGCTGTAAGCACACACCAAGCAATCAATAACTATTATAGATGATGATGCCCTTATGACCAGGACATTTTAGCTTTCCCATTCAAAAGGTGTGAAATATTCACTGTTACTATGGTACCTATAATTTCTTTCTTCTGTGACATCTTATTAAAAGACAATAATTCCATATGGTTTTCCCTAGAGTACTAGTCATTTTGTTGTACCCTAGGCCTTTTAGCAATATCATAGCAAATAACATTTGCAACGGAATATCATTTTGTACTCATCCATTTCTTCCAATGGTGTTCAGTATAGGCCATCATAGTCCTCATATTTGTGTGACAAAAACTAATTTTTCCATTGAAGTTTGTGGTACAGTTGGCAGCTTTCCATGTATTCAATTCTTATCTGATTTAGCCCAGAATGACTGCCTGAAGAAGCTAAAAGCATGAGTGTGGTTCCAGATTATTAGCTACTATACKAAAGTCCACTTGTTCAATTAGTTTTAATTTTCCCTTCTGATATCTGTAGCTCAGTTGAGAGGTCTATCCCTGTTTTACGTATCTTCTAATTTATGTGATAATTATTTGGGGAATACTGTCCTAGGTTTTAGACTTTGTAATACTTACCTTTCACTTACACAGTGCTTTTATTTGTAAAATTGTTGCACTGAAAGAAAAGAATGAACATATATTAATTGCCAGCTCAATGTAGAAACTATGTTCTAGACTTTTTACAACGCACAGATGATGTCTTCACCAGTTTACTAATGAGGAAACTGAGGCTCAAAGTAGTAAAGTCACACAAGCTATGCTGTAGTATAACTAGGATCTGAAACATGTCAGTTTAATTACAAATGAGCAAACACCTGCCATTGCCTGCATTATCTCTTTAATATTTTTTTTTTTTTGGTTACAGATAGACACATCACTTTCATTTATTTTTATGTAGTGCTGAGGATCGAACCTAGTGCCTCACATGGGCTAGGCAAGCACTCTACCACTGAGCCACAACCCCAGCCCTGTATGACTTCTTCTAGAGACTYTGACATTCTTTTCACAGGGTCACTCAAATGATGAATGAGATTGTATTCATGGAAGTGTTCTAAAACTACAAAGTACTACCAAACACTATTTAAAATTGAAACATACACATATATGTGTGTACATGTGCTTAACTTGGTGCAGAAAACGTTACAGAACTAATCTTTCATATTTTTAAAACTTTAAACAATGCACTTATTTTCCATAAGCTAAATATACAAGCAAATGGTTGGTCCCTAAAAATAGATGTCAGGTGATAGAAATTGGCTGGGCAGTAATAAGAGCATCTTTAGAACAGAAGCCAGGGAAGTTTTTGCTTCCCCAACACATTGCTGCTCTAGTTCACTTGCTCCAGGACCTTCCTACTTCTCTGTAAAACTCTGGCCCAGAGCAACTCCATTAGTCACAAGTTTCCATTAATCTGGGTAGCTTGTGCCAGACCTATAGCAGAGTCACTTCAGGTTATTCTCTTCTAACACAAACTTACTTTTTAAAATTGATTCTTTTTAGTCATATATGACAATAGAATCCATTTTAATATAATTWAAAAAGCATGGAATGGATCTTGTTCTAATTCAGTCCCCAGTACCACCCTTAGTCCTATAATTTGCTCCTTTCCCTTTATTCTAACTATGGGTAACTGGCAGAAGTTCAATATTTTTTAATTAATTTCTTATAGATGTACATGATGGTGAGATTCACTGTGATTTATTCATATATGTACATAGAAATGTTATGTCAAATTTATTCCGCTGTCCTTCCTTATCCCCACCTTCTCCCTTCCCTTCATTCACCTTAGTCTCTTCCACTAATCTTCTTTTTTTATTTTTATCTCTTCCACTTTTTGTGGGTTAGCTTTCACATATTAGAGAAAACATTTGACCTTTGTCTTTGGGGGACTGGCTTATTTCACTTAGCATAATAGTCTCCTCTCCAGATCCATCCACTTAACCAGCAAATGTCATAAAGTCACTCTTATTTGTGGCTGAGTAATACTCCATTGTGTACAGATACCACATTTTCTTTACCCATTCATCTGCTGAAGGGAACCTAGATTGGCTCCTTAGCTTAGCTGTTGWGAATTGTACAGCTATAAATATTGATGTGGCTCCATTACTGTAGTAATATACCAACTAGGGGGAAAACTGGATCAAATAATGGTTCTATTCCTAGTTTTTTTGTTTGTTTGTTTGTTTTAAGGAATCTAAATACTGCTTTCCAGAGTGATTATACCAAATTGTAGTCCCACCAATAATGTATGAATGTGCCCTTTTCCCTTCAATATGTAGTCAGGTTCACTCATTCAAATCTAGCAAGGAATCAATACCTTGTGATAAGGAAGCATGCAAGAATTATTCTTGACAATGTTCAGAGAACAATGTGAAACCCTGGGGCCTATTCCCAGAATTGGGGTGGTAGGAATGCTGTCCAACTGAAAAAGCCTCTTAGATAAGCAGACAGTTGACAAAATACAGGAAGTTTGAGGAYCGAATTTAGAGAAAGCTTGAGTTTAATGACTCAATTACTCAATATTTTAACACAAATGATTGATCACTTTATAATTATTACCGTTTACCTGATAAATATAATTTTAACCAGGTTGATAGCTAAAAAMAAGCCCTTACATTAGTATGCTCTCTGAATTACTTAAAGCATCCCTGTATTTGCAATTTAGTTCTGTTATTGGCTGAATTAAACAAACACATGAATTTTTAAAGAATGAAAAAGAGACAGCTTCTTCCCCATCTAAGTTTATAYCTAAATGTCATCTCTTTTTGAAACCAGACATATTAAGCAAAGTTCAAAAACAGATAATGGTATGTTTGTGACATTTCTTGTGATAACACACTTTAATAAGTCCAAAATCAAAATGGGTTGCTACCATTTATATTTTTGAAAATTTGCTTGAGAATGCATAACCAAATAAAGAATGGGCAGTCTCTAATTATAAGCAGAAGTCTAGAAATTCTTTTAGTTACATAAGTCAGCATGTAAGATGAATATTCCTTAGAAAGATAAACAATTGGAAACCATTGTACATTTAATATGAAATGCAATAGTTAATTTTTCCTCCAGCATTAAAAGGATCAATTTTGTTGCTTGGGGAGTAAGGGGAGGGGAGAGGGTATGGGGATGGGAAGAAGGGTGGAATGAGATGGACATTATTAACCTGTATACATGTATAATTATACTACCAGTGTGAGTCTGCACCATGTTCAGCCAGGGGAAGAAGTTGTGCTCCATTTGTGTACAATGTGTCTAAATGCATTCTACTGCCATGTATAACTAATTAGAACAAATTTTTAAAAATAAAAAATTTTTAGAAAAAGAAAATACATGTTTATAAACAATTATGGCAAAATGCTAAGATTTGGGGGATATAGGTAAAAAAGTACATACCCATTGTACTGCTTTCAACTTTTTTGAGAGTTTCAAATTTTTAAAGAAAAATAATGTATCTTTTAAATCTAGTAAACACTAGGCCTGTGTGATAAGAAGTTTGCAAAGTGAAAAGTAAAACCTGATTTTTAAAAAAAACAGATTCACATTTTTCATCTTTTTTTATGGGTACTTTTATTGAGAGCAGAGGGCAGAATGGTCCTCTGTGTTGAAAGTCTAGTGCTTTTTCTAGTAATACTGTAAACCCAATAGGAAGGTTATAAGATAAAGCTTCTGGATTAGTCTTTTCTAAGTCGTAAGAAACTGTGGTTTTAACTAGGATGACATTGGAAGTGACACATGTAGGACCAAACCCTAAGACGGTAAGAAATTTTTACTCTAGTAGAAGAGATGGGTAGTATTGTAAAGAGACTCTTAAATTTAGAAATATACTTGTACAAGACCTCAAAATTAAGAAATAAAAGATTAATGTCCTAAATAAAAGGTTAGTAAGGATTGTTTTTAAGAGTGATGAAAAAGGGCTGGGGATGTGGCTCAAGCGGTAGCGCGCTCGCCTGGCATGCGTGCGGCCCGGGTTCGATCCTCAGCACCACATACAAACAAAGATGTTGTGTCCGCCAAAAAAAACTAAAAAATAAATATTAAAAAAAAAAAAGAGTGATGAAAAAGTACGCTCTGTCTTGATGGTTGGGGTAGTTACATGACTTACCCATTTAATAAAACTTGTAAACTATACACTTAGAAAATGGTAGATGTCATTGTTTATGACACCTTATTAAAGTGATTGTAAAAATTCTAAGTGAAATTTATATCAAAAACTAAAATTGCTGAATGAACCACAACCTCACTATTCTTCAAAAAATAATTATATTTCAATATAATGTTACTTCAGTATATTTAGATAGGATATTTTAATGCCTGCTAATACATGAAGCCAGAGTTCAGTGTGAACCTGCTGATATGGAGTGAGAAGCTACAAGAAATATATTCTGACATCGCTTTAACAGTCATCACAATTAAATCACAAATGTTTTTCCTCTTCCTTTAGCCCTGGAATGAGACCAGATGTAAGCTCCCCTCCATCTAGCTCYTCAACAGCAACGGGACCACCTCCCAAACTCTGCCTGGTGTGCTCTGATGAAGCTTCAGGATGTCATTACGGGGTCTTGACATGTGGAAGCTGTAAAGTATTCTTCAAAAGAGCAGTGGAAGGTAGTGTGTGTTTTGAAGAGTTTTATTTTTCCTCTATGTGATTCCTATTTCTCAAACTGGAGTTTCAAATTTCCATTATATATAAAGCTCACTAAGGCTAGACATCAGTAATGAAGGAAAGAAAGGTGGCTCCTAAGTCTTCCAATGGGAAGGAGATACTTTTAAAAACCAAACAAACAAAACTAAGATAGAAAAGTATACGTTGAAGGGCGAGAATTAGGTGAGAGGCTGAAAGTAACACTGTAAGAAGGTGCTGTATGTGAAATGATGATATAAAGTTTGGGCAGTAAGATATATTAATGATATTAAAATTGTGTGCTTTCATTCCCCATAAGCTAGTTGGTTTCAAAGACAGAAACTATACTTGTGCAGCAAAAATGAGTAATAGGAAATGTTGGGGGGAGGGGGCATTTCTTGTTTTCTGTTAAGTTAGGGCACCATTTTAAGTGGTATAAACGCCAGTAAGAGAGGAGGTCAAGCCAGGCATGGTGGCATGGCTCAGGAGGCTGAGGCAGGAGGATCTGGAGTTCAAAGCCAGCCTCAGCAACTTAGAGGCACTAAGCAACTCAGTGAGCCCGTGTCTCACTGAGAGAGAGAAAGAGAGAGAGAGAGAGAGAGAGGAATTCAGTCTATTGAAGTGAAAGATGAACCTACCATTTGCAAACAAAGATTAAAGATTAGGAGGAGGGTGCGATAAACTGGTTGAAAAGATCAGAAAAAAATGTATTTTTTAAGAGGTGATTTCACTATATAAATATTTTATTAATATAAACTTATTCTTAAAATAGATTTAGATTGCTGACAGAGGCTGTAGTATTTTCTCCTTGAAGAAGAAGAAAGTCAGCCAGGTACCCAGGTGTGGTGACATATTGCCTATAATCCCAGTGATTCAGGAGCTGAGGAAAGGGAATCACAAATTCAAGATTCAAGGCCAGCCTAAGCAACTTAGTGAGGCCCTGTCTCAAAATAAAAACTAAAAAAAGCCTGGGGATGTAGTTTAGTGGTAAGGAACCCCGTGGGTTCAATCCCTAGCACTGGAGCAGTATGCAGGGAGAGGGACTTTTAACATTTTGCCAATGAATCAACTTCAAAGAAAAAAAAATAATAATCCTATAATTTAGTTGTTTGTAAAGCAACCTGGAGGTTTTGTGACCTGAATGGAATAACTAAAGCTCTGAGTATGCTAGTTCTTAAAGAAATTATTATTATTATTATTATTTGATTGGTGTTTGTATATCCTTGAGTTACATGAGTCATTTTGTTTGGATTACTTTTTAATACATTAGCAAACTATAAAATTGCTCATGTCCCCACCTAGACCAGAAGGATGCAAATGTTGGCCAGTATAGTAGCTGCCACCTATTAAGTAGAGTCATAAGTAAAACCCACCATTGCTTAGTGTAATGCCCTTAACAATGAATGTTATTTAACACATACCCCCAAAAGGGAAGTATTTCTTGACCTCAAATTGTTACTTTATACAGCACTCTCTTAAGTATAAAATATTTCTGATATAAAGTCATCGATGTTAATAATGCTGTGTATAAAATTAACAAAATGATTTTCAGAAGTGAAATTCAGAATGAGGCAATGGGGCCTTAAAAACTGGGATTAAACAGAGATGTCTCCAAACAATGTCTTATCCTCAATAGTACACTGAGCATTAAAATAGTACATTAATAGCATTAAAAAATATTTTTCACTTACTATTCTTTAAAAAAGGGCTACAAATTTCAAATGCCTACAGGGACTGTGTGTCACTCTGGCCAAATATATTTGTGGGAAGGAGGGCAGGACTGATATATTAGAGAGGGTGCCTCACCTATAACCATCGAAATGCAATAAACTCAGAAAACAAAGCTTGCCAACCTCCCAAATCAACACCATGGCAGGCCATATGCCCTCTGTGCTTAATCCTTACATTAAAATGAAATTCTTAATACTTATTTTTAGGTAAAAGTTGCTCTGTTTTCCTCCTTTATTTATATTAATCCTTTATTTGGATTTTAATAACATTCTTGAAAACCCTTTCCAGCACTAAAATTCTGTAATAATCTGATACCCTCTCTCATAGCATTCTTCTCTTTATCCTATCAAAACACAATGAAAATATGCTTTAAAGCTGAGATAGTTTCATGTGTGGAGCATGCTTAAAATCCCAGCGACGCAGGAGGATCACGAGTTTGAGGCTAGCCTCAGCAACTTAGTGAGGCCCTAAGCAACACAGGGAGACCCTGTCTCTAATAAAATATAAAAAGGGCTGGGGATGTGGCTCAATGTTTAAGCACCCTTGGGTTCAATCCCTGGTACCAATAAATAAATAAAGCTGAGATACATAATTTGGTGGGATTTCTTAATTATAAACATATAGCTTTATATGATTAGCATCATACATTTAGCACTCCATTTTTAATACCTGCTAGAAACTATAGGTTTTTTCCTGAAATTGGTGAGGTATAATTAATACCCATTTAACTATTAGGAAATCTGCAGAGAAGTTTTACATATTTATTTTCCATGCAACTCAGATCAAGGATAGATATTTTGTCTTTTTTGTTTGTTTGTTTTTTAGTATTAAGGGAGCTGCTTTTTTGTACATAAAAAAGAAAAAGTAGCCCCATTTCTTTTTATGCATACTAGATCCAAGATCTTTTTCCTCCTAAGGCCCTTTTTCTTATACTTCCTTTGCCCAGAAGTGCATGTAATCTTTGTTAGTAGGTCATAAAGGTGGTATAGTAAGTTAAGAGTTAGTGATACCTATGTGTCAAGTAAGTAATATGTTACAAATATATCATTTTATTAATGGCTCTGTGAGTTCTTAGATCCTGCTATCATCTGAATTTGTGAGTTTAAGTGACAAAAGTAGGATTAAATAGATGTCTCCAAACAATGTCTTATCCTCAATAGTACAAAGACCCTCTAAACTGTACAGGATGAACTCTTCATCTGGCAGTTTACAATGTAGTTAGACATTAACTAGATGAGTGCTCACAATGTGCTAGGCTCTAAGAATAAATCTACATAGTTACCTCTAACCCTCACTRAAGCCCAGCAAGGGAGGTACTAATTTTCCAATTTTACATATGAGGGACAAAACTCTGAAAAGTTAGTAAATGTTACTGAGATCACACAGCTAGCAAACAGTACTGGGACTGAGATAAACAGCTCCTTGGCACCCTATCAGATACTTTCAACAATATACCTCTAATCCTCAGATACTTCAAACAGGGCATATACAACCTGCATGTTCAATATGCCCTTTGCTGTGTTTCCTATTTCCTCTACCATTTTGATGATCTTGTTCATGTCATCATCACTGTTCTTCTTGGTTACCTTTAAAAAAAAACTTAAAAGTTTGTTGTTTATAAAATGAATAATTTATCATTCCTGCTGTATTAGTAATCTATTGCTCATAAAAAATAATCCTTAAAGTTAATAGCTTATAGCAACGTTTACTATGTCACACAAACTCYAGGAATCTATAAGCATAACTGGGTGGTCCCAGAACTCTCATGAGTTACATTCAGGCTATTGGTGGRGGCTACAATCATCTGAAAGCTTGTCTGAAGCTGAAGGATCCACTTCCAAACACATTTACATGGGTTTTGACAGGAAGCTTCAGCCCCTTTACATATGAGTTGGCCTTCTCTAGGGCTGCTCTCTAACATAGCAGCTGGCTTCCACTAGAATGAATTATTAGACATTGGTCACAGAGGCCAATCCTCTACCATAAGAAGGGACTACACAGAATATGAATACCAAGAAATARAGATCACTGAGGGCCATCTTAGAGACTGGCTACAACACCTACCATAAATGGAAAATCAGAATCACTTGCCAAAAATAGACTTTAACCGTAAAAATAAGAATCACATAAACAAYGTTAAGAAATCTCAGATGACCTAAAGGCTTTTCACTTTACATCTTAAGGGATTTGCCAAGTGGTAGAAAACAAAGAACTCCAAAAGGAGATACCTCATTGTCTTAAAGGGATTGACAGAAAATGACTATTAGTGTTATATGGCTTGTGAAATAGTGAACACTATTTGAACTTTGTTTTATAGGTAAGGAACAGACTTGCCCAAATTCATCAGGGGAATTGTACTTTTCTAAGATTCTTAGTTATGCCCAAAACAGATAGGATAAAGAAATCAGTCAGTATTGGGCTGGGGCTGGGGCTGGGGCTGGGGCTCAGCAGTACCACACTTGCCTGGCATGTGTGAGGCACTGGATTCAATTCTCAGTGCCACATATTAATAAATAAATAAATAATATCAACAATTTTTTAAAAATATTTTTCAAAAAATCAATATTAATAACCAGGCTCAGTGGTACACACCTTTAATCTCAGCTACTTGAATGGCTGAGACAGAAAGACCATAAGTTTAAGACCAACCTGAGCAACTTAATGACAAACTGTCTCAAAAATAAAAAGGGATGGAGGTGTAGCTTGGTAGAGCTCTTGTCTAGCATGTATAATCAGTCTAATCCCCAACGCCACCAAAAGAAAAAAGAAAGAAAGAAAAGGAAAGGAAATCATTATTAGCATAAATTATATCTTCTGATATTTCAACTGGATATAAAGAAAACATTTAAATTTCTTGCATTTAGCAGTGAGTAATTTTTTCTATGKTTTTTTCCAGTTACTTCAGGATAATTTAGGGATATTTTTAATGGGGGTAAAACTTCATAAATGCTTCAGTTATGTATTTGTTGTTCTTACTTTTGCTCTTTAGAAGATAGAATTATTGGATTAATGCTTCTCACTAACCCAATAAAGAAGCTAGGAAAGTTATAGAATACAGAAAGGAATTGAAAGAGCCAGCAAAAACATTTGGCATTGGRGAGCAGCTTTAGAATAAAAAAATTCGTAGTACTTATTGTCCATTACTCAACTTTGTAGCCTATTGTTTAAAAGGATTTTAAGGCAGATATCTAAAACTAGTTCTTAAAGAGCAGGAATTAAATATCTTATTAGGAAGAAAAAAATGTTGAGGGGTTTTGTTGTTGCTGTTGTTGTTGTTTTTAAATTCTAATCAAGTCTCAGGTTGTCCTAGGCATAAAAGATCTTTTCCTGGAAACYAGGATTTAGGTATATTCAACCTAGTGAATTGATCATTACTTAATTCACTTTCCTTTGAGTATGATAAATTCTTGAGAACTATCCCTACAGAGTCTTATAAAGACCACCCCCCCATAASATACATGACATCTTCAGTTACATCTGTGTAAATATGCTGGTCTTGTGTAGAATAACTTACTGGGCCAGCAGAACCTCCCTTGGTTTGCTTCAACATTTAATAACCACATTAAAAGAATATTACAAGAATATTTAATTAGGGGATGGGGAGAGACATAAAATATTTTAAATTTTCCTTGAACATTATTGCCAAGAAAACTACTACAATTCTTTCTTGTTTTGTTTTATTTTCATTTTGTACCAGGGATTGAATCCAGGAACATTTAACCACTGAGCCACATCCATAGCCCTTTTTATTTATTTATTTATTTATTTTATTTTGAGATAGGGTCTTGTTAAGTCGCTTAGGACCTCACTAAGTTGCTGAGGCTGGCTTTGAACTTGTGATCCTCCTGCCTAAGTCTCTCAAGCCTGTGGGATTATAGGCAAGTATTGTCCAGCCACAATTCTTAACATATTACTCAACACTGAATGCCAGAAGATTTAGTTGATAACATTCTTAAAGTCAAAGGTGAATTCAAGCATTTTTATTTCTATAAGTATGAAACAATGATCTCTGTAAAGACTGTCTATGGTAGATAGTTTGTCAAATCTGTGATTCATCTAATCAGTTGCTGGCAAGTTTAACATTCAAGAGTAAACTTGCTGTTAACCTTCACTTTGTTTTAAATTGGGAAGGGGGAAACATTTTATTTGCACATGGTGGTTTAATGTTGAATTCAAGTCATTTTCTCTTTGTGATTCCCATAGTATGTTTTAGACCAGTTTTCTCTTCAACATTAGGTCAGAAGTCATAATAAGATAGTGATTACAGACATCTTCTGTAACTGACTGTTAAAAATACTATATAAAGCACAATTTGTCAAGAAAAAAATGCTTGCCTCTGGTGAACAGTGATTATACTTGGGTATGARGACAATGTGTGGGGTACAGTTCTGCTTTTCAAACTCAGCTCATTACATGGAGGTATACCTCAGTTTAGTAGCACACTTCAGATTTGTGCATTTTTACATATGTGTACATTCAGTAAGGTTTTAATAAACTACTTTCAATTTGTTGAATAAGATCTTTTTTTCTTTTTTTTTTTTTTAGTTGCCCTCTCAATTTAGCAAGTTATGTCAGAGTAGACAAATACAGTTATCTTCTTAATCAATGGCTTTGGATCTTGGCCATTTTCTACCCAAAACAAAAATGGAAAAAGGCTCTCATAAAAATATCCTTTAAGACCTGTGGAATTTCAAYAGTGTCTTTTATTCTATACAGGACAGCACAATTATCTTTGTGCWGGAAGAAATGATTGTATCATTGATAAAATTCGAAGAAAAAACTGCCCTGCATGCCGCTATCGAAAATGTCTTCAAGCTGGAATGAACCTGGAAGGTAATATAAATTGCTAATTTTACTTAAGATATTAAGTAAGCACATATAATAATTTAGTGAATTCAGTGTATATATGTGCTTGACTAGCATTTTATTGCCCAGGAAACAGGAATTATTTCATGAATATATTATATTCTGATCAAATTTATTCACCAGCTCTTGTTACATATACTGATTTCAGTACAGYCAAGCTATACACTAAGAAAGTAAATTATGTAACAATGAAACTTATATWACTTGAAGCAACTTTGCTTTTATATCTCTYAATTCCTTTTTTAAGCCTCAGCTATTCCCTAGGGTTGGAAATGTTTCTACASTAGATACATTTACATGTGCATTTTTCTYTTACCTTTTAAAAACACACCATTACTTGGAAATATTTGTCTTATTACAGCTCTGCAAGGAAAAAAAAGAAAACTCAGGGCATTGGATGGGTTTTGGTTTTGTTTTTCAAGTAAAGAAACAAACTATAAGTTAGGTTTGCTAACCCTAAGTTGTATAATTAACGTTGATTTCATCATTAAAAAATGTTCCTCTGAAAAGTGTTTGGAATTTTGCTGTAGTTGAAATGGCAAGTTCCATGAGTCTGTTGATTTAATAACTCATGTGTTGTTTGGTATTTGTTGTGACAGTAGTACTTTCATTCTATATGTATTCACCAACAAGGCAGTCACTAGACATAAAATGAATAAAAGTGCCTATATTCAACAAGTTTACCAATTATTTAAGTTTCAAAGTCAATCACAGAATAGCATGGCATACCACAAAATACCATAGGAGCAAGGAGAAGATGATCACCTAATTCTGTCTTTTTTGAAAGTGTCCTGAAGAAATAACATTGAATTTTTAAGTCTAGAAGTTGGGTAGGAATTAAATGAAAAATAAGGGCAGAGACATGATCAGATTTGTTTTAGAAAGAATAATSTTGTATTGAGAGACCAATTAAATGACTATACTGTTAATCCAGATAAGAAGTGATTTCTGGATAAGACAGATTGATGGTGCTATCTAGCACACACCGTATGTTAACAAATATAAAGAGTCTAATTCCCTACACCACACACAAAGCTAAGTGTGACCAGGTTGTTTAAACTTGACTGCAGAGTGCTAATGTCAAATTAAACATTGCTTTAAATAAAATGATAGTTACCCATTTTTCTTGGTGTACAAAAGCTACAAAGATTAAACATTCATGTAAAAGTTTACTTTCAGTGTCACAAGTATAGTTTATTTTTATTATAAAAACAAGTTATTACTCACTTTTTTTGATACCAGATCTCTGGCCAGATTTTAGATACTAGAGCTCTTGCCAGATTTTACCCAGTTTCATTTCGCTACACTCTAATCTACTAAGTAGATAGTATACTTGGACCATTTAAATATACACTTACCTCTCTAAAAAAAAAAAAAAAAAAAGGCTGGGGATGTGGCTCAAGTGGTAGCGCGCTCGCCTGGCATGCGTGCAGCCCGAGTTCGATCCTCAGCTCCACATACAAACAAAGATGTTGTGTCCGCCGAAAACTAAAAAATAAATATTAAAATTTTCTCTCTAAATAAATAAATAAATAAATATGCACTTACAAGTTTGGTTTTTAGCAATGACCTAAATGTTTTCATCCAGCTATTTTATGTATAAAATAAAAGCTTAAAGGACAAACAAACCCAAATAAAATTCTATCATTKCTATCATATCACTAACATGAGAACAACGGTTGCTTACTCAGTAACATTTTTAGGTACTCCTGAATGCATGTCAAGTTTAGATATCTCAAGTTTTAAGCATATAATGCTTCCCTCAGGAATTTCTCCCATATCCTGAGTATAAGGAAATTCTTTATTCAAAAGAAAAATAATATATAAAGTAATGATACTGRTAAGAGTATAATAGGAGGTGTCACATTTATCCTATTGCTCCTTCCTTTTACAAACAGCTAAATAATAATTTTATAGTGTCCTTTGCWCTTAACCTCACAAGAAGACAACCAAGACAGTGACTATCATAAAAATACCATTACAGCCATTTCCAGTCAGTCTGTTGTTGAAAAACTGGCAGAATTTTTTTTCTTGAATGAATAAAATTTAAGCATATAATTTAATCTGAGCAGCATTTTCTCAATACTATATTAGCAACCAACCAATAGTATGATTTTATAAATGGTTAATGTAAGATCTGAGTGGAGAGAAATTTACCTTTGACAACTTCTTTCATGTGCCTTCCTCTACTCAAAGGAGAACCTCGTGTCTAGGATAAATCTTATATCAATTTTTATGTAATACATGGTAAAACAAAGTTCTAGTTGGTCATTTTATAACATACTAGATATTAGCTGGCACATGTGGTTGGTATTCTGATTCTATTTGTAGACAAAATGAAAGAAAAACTTAAAAAAATAAATGTTACCAGGGTTTATCCATGTGTGATTTTAGTGGGAAAGCCTCATTTTTGTTTTCAAGTAACCCCAATATACACAAATCTTCTACTCAGGTAAGTACATGTGTATGTCAGTAATGTTTGGCAGACTATAATACTTAAGAACAAAATAGATCAAGTCAGGTATTTCACACGTTTTCAGTCTTTAGMAACAGTCTCTTGTTCACCAGAGTGCTTCCTTCAGCCAAGCAATTTTAATGATAGGCCCCAGAGTAACTTGACATAAGCACTTAGCTCTCTCTCAGCCCAGTTCTCTCCATAAATGTAACATAGTACTATTTCAAGTGGCATATTTGATACTGTTGCCCCATACCAAGTAAACTCAAGATTTATTTTAAGGCAAACTTCTTCACTGCTTGAAGTTTCTGGCATTTAAATATACGTAAGTTTTTAAAATGGCAATCCTAAATGTCTTATGCACATTTCATTTTAAGATTRTAATCATTCCAAAGTATGGATTTATTTTTTATATAAACAGTAAAACGGAACTTACAGAAAATAGGCTTATGGCATTATAAGATTTTTTACCTAATATTTAAGATTTCTTTACCTTTATTAAAGAGAAAGTAGCCTTATCACAGACTCACAAACATTTTTATATAGAGATTATATATTGTTAACTGCTGCTCTACTATATGTTCCAAAAGGTCAGAAGCTTGGATAAACTTTCATTAATGAAATTCCTTAAAATTAGTGATTGCTTAACTAAATTATTCAATTAACTCTTTGCTGAAGATATCTTGAAAATGTATTAGTATTACTTCTTGCTTTAGTCAATTCAATGTAACTTAGGTCCCTAGAACTTTTTGAGCTTTATTAAAAAACATCAGTTCTCACTTAGGACTATAGATAAGTAGTCAGAAATTAAACCAATTATATTCTGAATCATAGAAAATGATTTTTTAAAATCCTTCAGTTTGTCATTATCCTTTCTTCTTTGTTCTGATGTAGAGGGTAGAAATATGCATCCTAGGCTACTTGAAGTTATGGTTAATTGAGACATTTACCAGGATTATTTCAGCATATTGATTTGGGACATCCATATTCTCTCAAACATCATCAACAAATTACATTCTATAGTTTTGGATCTCGGTTTCTGTGAAATGCTTTTGGTTATTTAAAGGGTTTTCTTACATACAGGAGCTCTTCTTTTTAAAAATTTGCATCATTCCTTTATAGAGTTATACTATCTGAAWGTAAAGAATTAAAAACAGGGGCTGGGGATGTGGCTCAAGCAGTAACATGCTGGCCTGGCATGCACGGGGCGCTGGGTTCTATCCTCAGCACCATATAAAAATAAAGATGTTGTGTCCACCGAAAAYTAAAAAATAAATATTAAAGAATTCTCTCAAAAAGAATTAAAACATTCTCCTACAAGTTGAGGTAATAAGGTGTCTCTTATGGAACCTAGGAACATATTTTACATATTTTTACTGAATCAGTTCTCACTACAAACTTGTAAGGTTTGTGAGGTAGGGGCTAATAGTTTCCTCTCCTGCAAAATGAGGATAATAAAGACTAGGGAGTAACTTGTACAGAATACCCAGCTACAAAATGGCAGAACCAGGATTTAAGTCCAACATTCAGGTTTCATATTTGTACTCTTTATTACTATACCATACAGCACCTCCAAGAACCTGGCAAACTAAATTAGAATAGAATGATCCTGCTTCTCTGTTTTGGTATGTTAACTAAAAATTCTTAACTCTCTCAGTGCCCACATAACATTGTTCATTGTACATAACAGACTTTTTTTTTTCCTTTTCTAACATTGGGCATTAAGATATAGTTCCTAGCACAGTATCTTGTCTTCCATAAACCATGTGTTTGGTCATTTTAAGGACAGAGGACCTAGTAATTATTTTAATTTGCATTTATTTTTTTCACTTTGCAAAATATTTTGCATCCTGACAACTGAGGCAAGTTACATTTCCTCTTTCCTATAAATTATATTCTTTGCCCTTCCTTGGAGCCCTCAGTACTATCTCATAATTTTATAAGAGAATGTAATTCTTCTTTAGTTATCTTATTAAAGTAACTTCAGGAGTATGAATAAGTTTACTAAAAATATCTATAGAATCCATGCTTGTTATTTGATWAGACTTTTTCAAACAATATATGTGATATGGATGGTTTACATTTATAGAGTTATCAGTATAAATCTTCCTTATTTTCTTTTAATTTCCCTATGTGTTTTAGTCTTAAGTAGTATCTATCATGTAAATGGAAAAAGTCAATTTTTCTATTGTTAGATTAAATATCTGTCTTTCTACAAATAATACAACAATGTAGCTGCTTTTGTTAAATATACTGTCATAATTTTGGTTAATCCTAAAATACAGTGTCTTAGGTCCTTCCACAAATTTAGTTCATTCTTTCAATTGATTATAAAAGTAATTTTCCTTGTATAATTTATATGAACTTTGAAAATGAGATAATTTACGGAAAAATCTACAGAAGTGGTTTGTTTAGGTTGTTTTAACAATGTTATAAGATTTATTCATTACAGTTATACAAAATGTCACTAGCTTACTTATAGGGAAAATTGGTATGGGAATGGGTGGGTAACTGGATCYTTCCAGGAAAAAAAATTTTTTTCTCCTATGTCATTTTTTTCATAAATGCTGAATAAATTATTTCTCCTCTTTCAGTCTTAATAGTTTCAGAAATTGAAGCTACCTCTAAATAACCTTTGCAGCCCATATCTCCCTATAATTCATTTTTTGTTCAATACCCACAGCTCGAAAAACAAAGAAAAAAATAAAAGGAATTCAGCAAGCCACTACAGGAGTCTCACAAGACACTTCTGAAAATCCTGCTAACAAAACAATAGTTCCTGCAACATTACCACAACTCACACCTACCCTGGTGTCATTGCTGGAAGTCATTGAACCTGAGGTATTATATGCAGGATATGATAGCTCTGTTCCAGATTCAACTTGGAGGATCATGACCACACTCAACATGTTAGGTGGGCGCCAAGTGATTGCAGCAGTGAAGTGGGCAAAGGCAATACCAGGTAAGGTGCAAAGAATGACAGAACTACAGTATAAATCTTTATTTTCTTGAACAAAACCACTCTGGCTCTTTCTTGTCCTTCCTCCTTGATCTCATGGCATATCTTATTGCTCCTACTCAGTTCTAAGGACTAAAAAGCAGATGAGCAAGTAGGGTATCCACAATAAAACTTTCATACTGTTTCCAGCTTTTCAGATCTTAACCCAGAGCACAATTTTAGGTAGGATGGTATAATATCAGAACTAGAGCTACAGGACCTACTCAAAATTCTTTTTACACTTATGTCTAATGGAAGAAAATGTATACTATTTCTAAGAATTCCATTTATTTCCCTTCARGTTATTTGTAAGGTTTGTAATTATCAGATGTGTTGACTTTGTCAAAATGTACCAAAACAAAATGATTTTAACTTCACTAAATGAAATTAACTAATTGAATATAAATCTAATGTTTAAGATAATTTTAAAAGTTTCCCTTTAAAAAAATTTTTCCCTATTAGAACTTTGCATGGAACAGGAGAAGTCAATGTTAGTGTCAACCCTGACTTTACAGATAGAGAGGAATTGACCACATGTTGGTCACACAATAGAAGAAAGATGACGAACCTAACTTCCTATCATCCCTGTTGTATCAAGGGAGAAAGAAATGTGAAAATGGGAAAAAAATTTTAATTAAATCCATTGATTAATATTTGATGCCAGGACTCTTTAGCTTTCTGTTTCATAGTTTAATTCATGTTATTTAAAATATGCAAAACGTAACATAAATGAGCTACTTGRAAGTTTTCTTACATAGAATGCCATTAAAAAGTTCTAGGGCCAGGTGCAGTGGCACATGCCTGTAATCCTAACCATTTGGGAGGTTGAGGCAGGAGGATTACGAGTTCAAAGTCAGCCTCAGCAACTTAGCGAGGACCTAAGCAACTCCATGAGACCATTTCTCTAAATAAAATACAAAAAAGGGCTGGGGATGTGGCTCAGTGGTTAAGTGCCCCTATACAAAAAAAAAAAAAAAGAAAGAAAGAAAGAAAGTTAGTTCTCAAGGCTTGGATTTTAATGATGATAAAAGTTAGCTGTATACACTTAGCTTTCATATCGTTTATCTGTTAAGGGTCTGACCTAAACAAGGCTAATTGACTTAATTGCTCTTAGGCAGTTCCTGGAGACATGATCTTTTTTTGGCAACTAGACTGTTGCYTAATATCTTTATTTCTCTTAATCCAGGATTCAGGAACTTACACCTGGATGACCAAATGACCCTCCTGCAGTACTCATGGATGTTTCTCATGGCATTTGCCCTGGGGTGGAGATCATACAGACAATCAAGTGCAAGCTTGCTATGTTTTGCTCCTGATCTGATTATTAATGAGTAAGTTGTATATGAGTCATTTCCCCTGTATTCATTCATAGTCTATTTTTAACCAGATGATATTTTCCTATGAACTGCTATTGTAATAATTCAGGAGAGAATCAATCCTACCAGGTATCTAGGAACTGGGAAAACTTGAAGTAGAGTTGTTTATCAGTGCCTGCAGCACATCAAGCATAAAGTAGAAAAAAACGTGCATGTGGCATTATTTCTGTATTGCTTTAATTACATATCCCTACTYCAGAGAAGAAAAGAAACATGGGGAAACTCATGTGAATTCAGTAGGGGACAACTAAAAGGTGAGGACATCTCTGGCTGAAGGATATGAGGTATGGACCCAGACACGAGAGGTCTCTTTGGACAGCAAGACTCACTCAATGACTATGGCTTAAAAAGAAAACAGGAACAAGTTACTGGGTTTTTGTCTTAGGTGTTTACTAAGGGAGGACCAGTCAAGCCTTAAGATTTTTTAATCAACTATTTTCTTATCCTGTGGGTCTGTATTTGTGAAATACTTCAGATATATATTCCCCTTTACTTAACTGCTGTTTTTTCCTTATTAGTTTCCCTACTGCAATGTATCCTTCATTGTGTTGACTGTTTTCTTCCTTAAGCACAGTTCTGATCACATCATATATATTCCAATATACAGACGTTTTCAATACCACCTTACTGATAATCCAGTGCATACTCTATATGGTTTCAAGTTTTTGAGAACTTGGCCTCACTTTCTTTCCCATTGTTTTTCACACATTCTGTTTCCAATCAGCTAATCCACATTTCAAACATACCATCAGCTCATGGTGTTTTATCACCAAATATGACCTCTCTCTTACACATCTCCTCTGTCTCACTTTCCACTTTGTATTGCTACTTTTTGTGCTCGTAGTTTATCTCCTTTATCAAAATGTAAATGAGGAGTTCCTACACACACACACACACACACACACACACACACACAGTCTGATAAGATTAAAATGGAGTTTATGTGAAAAAAGATGAGAGTTTTATTGTGAACTATGGATGCTGTTAAGACTTCCTCCCCCAAATTAATGAAATCTTAAACCACATTAGTATAGTAATTAGTCCCACTGTGCTCTATTTGAGAAAATACATCATTAGTTGTTTGAGAACTGACATATTAAGAATATGTCCAGAGTGGCAAGGAGTTGGATTGCATAACATGGAATGAATATGAGATGTTTACAGAGAAGAAAGGAGACTTGAGAGCATGGAGGACAGCTTAGAKATATATATATATGAAAATATAATAAGTATTCACTGTTGGGTTTGCCAGGTACAAAAATAATAGATAGGAATGAAAGAAAAGCATCTATTTTAAATGTTTTAGTAGAAACTAGGTGATCTGATGCCCAGATCATTTTAATAAGAGATTCTTAGGCACAGTGCTAGAAGCCAGAGATAATAGGGTAACCCTAGATCTAGAACACGTCTTCCTTATACTACTACTAGGTAAATCTAAGGCCTTATGCCTCACAGGATAAATGAAAATTTTATACAGTGAGATTTCAGGTTTCTCTGCTACTAGGATAGCTGCATAGAAACTAGGCCAAAAATTATAGCCAAACTCTTTAAGTTAATACTTTATTTTCCAGCACTGATTCATCCAATGGTATTTGAGTATTTACCAAGTTCCAGGCACTATTAGKGGAATGGTGGATATAATAGTGAATAAAATAGATGAGAATCCTGCTAATAACATTCTGATATGGGAATTCAAATAAATATCCAAATTTATTCCAGAGCCATGATTCCATAGTGTGAGAAGAAGGTAGGAGACAGGGAAGATATTAGAGCAGAGGGCATTCAAGTCCGCAAAGAACCTTGAAACAAGCTTGACAGGCATGAGAAACTGAGAGGACACTAAGTATAAGGTATGAGTTTAGAGAAGTGAACAGTGACGAAAATCTTGTAGGTCTTAAAATAGAGTTTAGGTTTTATTCTAGGACYAAGCAACAGCCAGAATGGATTTGAGGGGAACAACAAATATTCATATTCCTAATAAGGTACCTAGTTTGTGACTACAGCAAAGAACAAGAAAATAAGATTGATCTTCAGTTATTTATGTTAGTGCAAGAGACAAAGATAACTATCAAATACATAGAATAATTTCAGAATTTGACTGTGATAGAGATTTTACTATAGAGAAGTCCATTTTAGATAGATTAGGCTAAGACACAAAGGAGAAGAACCAGGCTTTATAATAAGAAGCAACATGATTAGGCATGTGAAATACATATGCTATATTCAACTAATTGCTTTGTATTCTAAGAAGGGCCATATTTTAGTCCTCAGCTAATAGCTCTACCACAGCTTCACAGRCGTACTCTCAGTATGGGTATCAGAGAAAGAAGTCACCTTGACACTCTCTTGCCAAAAAGAGGATTATTCAAACCATCACATCACAGTGTAAGAAGATTGGTTGTTTGGTCCAATTTTAAATTAACTGGTAAATATATTTAGCTTTTATGAAAAGTCAGAACATTGTTACTTAGTTCAGAATCCAGCCATGTTTTTAAAAGTATCATGCCAATAGTGTTTACAGGCACTTTCTAATAATCAGTTTGAAGTCATTTAATTGGAGTTAAAACCATGAAGAGATTTATATAAAACACCAACATTTTCACTTTCATTTGTAAAACTAAAGTAACCTAGTTCAGAGTTTTTATTTTTAGGGCATTCCAATTTGGATTTAAGTAGTCATAGACCCATACAATTCCTTACATAAAGTGGAAATTACTTCCCAAGAAATTTACTTTAGTTTCGTGTTCATGTTCATTGTAGAATATGGAAGAGAACTTTTCAAAGATTTTTAACGAATTGTTAAAGGATTATTTTTATTCACTGTTCAGCTACTATTCTTGTGTTCTTATGCTGCATGTATTAGACAGGCCTCGCTCTCTTTTCTTCACCGTATTTTCATACAACTCTGGTGTCTCCCAACAGGCAGATTTAGAGTGTAAGAAAGGATGCATTCAAGTTCTGACCCTATATATATAGTCTTTCATGGTTGGTCTTAGGTCATAATGTTGTGAAAAATGTATGTATATATGTACATTTTTTTCACAGCCAACAGGAATGCCTTTTCTACTTCCTTTACTAAAATTTTGTTGACATTCTAAGTTATATGAGGAATCTAATCATGAATAAGAAAGTAAAAGGGAATAAAGACAGCTCTTAGGAAAATAGCTTTATTAGGGGATTGGTAAGAAGCTTTAAATTTGAAGAACCATGAAATATCACTTTGGCAGCATATAATTCATGTCTAATTTATTTCATTATACAAAGAAATAAAGTATATCTTCAGTAGAGAAAAATAATTACCTTATTTTTTTCTGTTAAGCCCAAGATCACTCTCTAATAGAAATGTAAAAAACAAAATTTCTTAAAGTATTTTAAATGTCATGAACCAGGCACAGCTTCACGTTCTTAGTGTCATTTCAAAAGTCAGGAAATCTTAGATCTATTTGAAAATCATAGATGTGATAGTGACTGTTGAGAATCATAATCAAGAGTTGATTTGATACTGTGAGTTAAAAAGATTTGTGGTATCAGAAAGTGTAGTCTYTGCCTAACTATAAACAATGTCACATATCTGTCTTTAGAAAGTAATGCTGTAAAAAATACCCTATGATTTTTAAGATCTACAACTGTTTTCTAACTGGCTATATTCAAGTGTTAATCCTTGATTTTAACTGAGCAACTGCTAATAAATTCTAAAGTAAATAATGCAATACATGACAATGTCTCCAATGTAAAATTAATTTATTCAGTAGTCTCTTTACTCTAGAACCTGAAACAACTTTTAAGTTCTGGTTTCCTAAGGAATTAGCACTAATGGCAATAGTTATGTTGTCATTTATGTGTTTATAATTTTGTAAAACAAATGAAATAGTACTGTTTTGGAACTAGCACTATTTCTTTCTAACACTCAAACACTCRTATTTGTTTCTCACAGACAGAGAATGACTCTGCCCTGCATGTATGACCAATGTAAACATATGCTATATGTTTCCTCTGAGTTACAAAGGCTTCAGGTATCTTATGAAGAGTATCTCTGTATGAAAACCTTACTGCTTCTCTCTTCAGGTTGGTAGAATATATACACTTCTAAAATTTACTTCTAAATATGTCAAAAGCATGAAACATGAAAATCTAGAAACAAAGGTTTTTAATGAATTGCTAATAGCTATACTATGTTCTGCTACGTAGATGATTTTCATAAATGTAAAAATTCTTAAGGGATATTCAGTGATACCGAGACTGTTAAGACAAAATAGGTACAAAATAAATAGTTATATAAGCTGCACAGGGATCACCGTTGATCAGAATTTCTGCAGACTGCTTTCTTCCTTCCTTTGATCTTAGAAAACATCAGTATATGGGACATGGAGAAAGAAAGCCAACAATGCTTTCATTTCTCTATTGCACTGTTACTTGTAAATACAAAATAAATATTAGCAAGTATATTAATTTATAGAAGAAAAAGATACATCCTAGAAAAGATATTACTGTAGACTGGAACAGGATTGCTGGACAGAACTACTCTGTCTTTTGAAAATAGCATCTAGACTTTATTTTTTTAAAAAACTTAAATGTTTGATAAGGATGCTGACATTTAAACTTATTACTTTGAACTAGCAAAGATGTTTAATAAATCCAGAAAACTTTAAAAAATAAAAATCATTTTGTCTATTAGTACTTTATGTGGCAATTTTCAATAAGTAATAAAAGGAAGGTCTAGCCACATCTAAGATAAAGAACCAGTATCCAAAATATACAAAGAATTCAAAAAATGGGCCAAGGACCTTAACAGGCACCTCACTAAAGAAGATATGATAGATATTAAAAGGTCTTAATCTAATTAAGATATAATAAAGAAAACAAATATGGCAAATAGCATATGAAAATATCTGCTACCCATTATTTATCTTCAAGGAAATTAAATTAAAATAACAATAAGATACAAATGGTGAAGAGAATATGGAACAACAAGAACTGTCATTCATTGCTAGTGGGAATGCAAAATAGTATAGCCATTTTGGAAGACAGTTTGGTGATATCTTACAAAACTAAACTCTTACCACATGATCTAGCAATTACAACCCTCAGTATTTACCCAAAGGAGTTGAAACYGTATGTTCACACAAAAACAACCACATGGATATTTAATACAGCTTTATTACTAATTGCAAAAACTTGCAAGTGACTAAGATGCCCTTCATTAGGTGAATGAAAAAACTGGTACATCCAGTCACTGGAAACATTATTCAGCACTTAAAAAGACAGAGAGGAACCTGAAATGTACATTACTAAGTTAAAAAAGCAAATGTAAAAAGGCTACATACTGTATGATTCCAACTATGTGACATTCTGTAAAAAATAAAACTATGAAAAAATTAAAACCAGGAGTTAGGAGGGAGGTAGGGATGAACAGGAAGAACTCAAGATTTCTAAGGCAATGAAAATTCTCCGTGTGATACTATAGTGATGGATACATGTCATTATACAAAATATAAAGCCACAAATCCACAAAACACCCAACACCCAGAGTGAACACAAATGTAAACTGTGGGTGATGATATGCCAATGTAGGTTCATTAACTACATGACAAATATACCCCTCTCATAGGAGGATGGTGATAGTGGGGAGAACAGGGAATATATGGGAAATCTCTGTACCTAATTTTTCTATGAACTTAAAACAACTCTTAAGCCTTTTTTAAAAAGGAGGTCTTTGAACCAGTTAGAATTGTAAACTTTAGGCCATTTCATTAAAAATCACATATGAGGTTAATGTTTATAAAACATCAAGGTAATGGCTGAATACCTTTTTTAATATACCAATGAGCAAATATGTAATTACTATTAAAAGTCTTCATTCCATTTTTGGCAACTCATAGTTGCCAAAAAAACTTGTTGCACATGATATCTAACCATTTCCAAAGCACACAGTCTAAATTCTTTCATAGTATCTTTGCAAGGAACATTAATATTTCAACCAAGGAAGAAGATGTTCCATTACCTCGTGTTTAAAAAAAAAAAAAAAACCTACAAGATCATTGCTAGAGAAGGTTACCTTTAACAGTATACTTGCTAAAGAAACAACTTGAGTGAACAGTTACATAAAGTTCTGAGCATGATTTTGATAGATACAAGGTATAGTTCAATGTCTGGATACTAGCAATTTTAAAAAGTAATGGTCTAAATTTTATACATATCAAACTCACTGAGCTTTTTGATATTTATGTATATTGTAGGTCCCTTTACCATGTAATATAGATTTTTATTCTGTTAGGTACCTAATTCTAGTATTCTAATTTTCCACTACAATGCTGGGCTTAAGAACTAAGTAAAGGTAGAAATTCAAAAGGTAAAGTTTACTCTGAAGCATTCTCTTTAAGGATATTTTTAGAACCTTGTAAATTAGTACATTTAATACATTTAAAGACAATGATTGGAAATATAAGTGAAACTGTCAAAGCAAAAGGTGGGTCAAAAGCAGATTAGACTCTTGAACAACATATATAACTAAAGAAATCATCCAAAATACAACTTTTTAAAGTGTACATGTTTGTATTACATATACAAGAAAACTGCAACAAAGTTATAACATATATCCTGAAAGTCCATGTATAGATAGATGGATAAATAGATGGATAGATGGATGTGGGTGGGTCCAGAGAATTGAGGTCACAGGGCAAACCACCACCTCAAATCTGGAGAAACAGGCAAATTTAGAAACTTAGCTCTTAACCAAGGTCAGTTTACTAGGAACAGAGCCACTAGAGCTAGCAAAATGATAGGAAGACTACAGTAATTTTGATGAACTGCTAGAGGCTGAATGAGRACTAAATTGAGAGTTCAAAGCTCCTGGGAATCTAGTCTTACGGRATTTCCCAACACTTGGGTTTTATTTTCAGAAACTCTACCAGTTCTTCATGGTTAAAATGAGAGAAAATTTCCTTTGTTTTTTTTTTTTTGTTTGTTTGTTTGTTTGTTGTTGTTAGTAGGAAGAGGAAAAGTAAACATCTGGAAATATCTAGAGAGTGTTCTCCATAACCAAGGCCTACGCTTTGAGAAAACAACTTTATCAGGGCCTGAAGAAAAAGGCAAATGAAGGATTCCAGTCCCTTCTAGCCTTCCTTTCTCTTGTAGGAGGGGAGGGGGGTGGAAAAAGGTTAAGAAACATTTTTGAAAGGTACAGCCCAGGCATTCAAGCCAAGTTGCAGAAGAGAGTGAGATTTAATTTTAAGTATTTTTAAACCTTTTCCCTCCTCAACATCTTATAACCACCATATCAACAGGGCTTCACTATAACAGTGGATTGAAACTGAGAGTTTCAGGACAAGCTATTTAAGAAGTTAAAAAGAAGCTTCAGGGAGCTGGGGGATGGGGCGGGGTGTAAAACAAGGGAACTGAAACGCTAGCACCTACAACAAACAGTAAATACAGGTCAGCTCCTACTCAGATTAACACAAAATTAATTCCAAAATTAAGGACAGAAGCCAAAATATATCCAGGAAATGCAGAGAACACCAAGCAAAATAAAAAGCAACACATTTACGCCTTAATATATATCCTACACTGAAACTGCAGAGAAATAACAGAAAAAAAAATCAGCTTATTTATGACTTAAATCAGACTTCTCATCAGAAAGCCTATAAGCAAAAAGAGAGTTAAATAAAATAATTAAAGTGCTTTAAAACACAAAAAAACTCCCAACCTAGTATAAGGTATCCAGCAAAATTAACCATCAGAAGCAAATAAGAAATAAAGACTTTCTCAGACAAAAATCAAAGGAATTATTCACCTATTTTACATAAAGTGTCAAAAGCCGTTCCTAAGAAGAAAGGAAAAATGTCAGGAACATGGATTTACATAGGGAAGGAAGAGCATGAGACAAAGAATAAATGAAGGTAAAATAACATTTTTTTCCTTAGTTGGTAACTTCAAAGTAATAATAATGTACTGGATGACTGAAGCAGATGGATAAGTGAAATGAACAACAGCAAAGTTATGTGGATTAGGAAAGAGAATTGGGAACCCTCTGTTAAGAGGTACCTGCATTGCACCGGGAGTGGTGGAACATACCTGTAATCCCAGCAGCTCAGGAGGCTGAGACAGGAGGATCACAAATTCAAAGCCAGCCTAAGCAACAGGGTGGTGCTAAGCAACTCAGCAAGATTCTATCTCTAAATAAAATACAAAACAGGGCTGAGAAATGTGGCTCTGGTGAGTGCTCCTGAATGCAATCCTGGTACTCCCCACCCCCAAAAAGATGTACCTGCATTACAATCTATAARGTGGTATAGATTGAAAAAAGGGACATAAGTTTATTGTAAATACATACTGCAAACTCTAGGRAAACCACTAAAARCAAAAGGAGTAATAGTTGATATGCTAAGAGAGAAGAGTAAATGAAAGCATGAAATGCTCAATGAAAACAAGGTAGAAAAAAAGACAAGATAAAAGGAAAACAAAAAAAAAGTGTTATGACTAGAACAGTTATCAACATCGCAGATGTTAATCCAGCTATATTATCATTTTAAATTTAAATGGTCTAAATACATCAGTGTTCTTTTTTTAAAAATTATTTTTCAGAACATTTATTTATTTTTAAATAACTAATGTAATATCTTTAGGTGTTAAAAATGGAACTAAAATACACAATAACTTCATATAAGCTCAAATTAAATTTCAAGGAGGACAACTAGAATATGCAGATTACCAAACCATTATGGGCAAAAGAGGAATGGGGTAACAAAAAACAAAAGAATGAAAGATAGGAGAAAAAAGGCACATCATAAGGTAGCGCAAATAAATATAAATGTATCAATAATTTCATTATTTGTAGAAATGGACTAAATGCTCCAAGCTTAACTGAAAGACTGAATTTTTTAAATAATCCAACTTTATGATATTTACAGCAATATGTAAATAAACATAAAGGCTGAAGTGAAAGAATATACTCTATGTATAGTGCAAGAGATGTCAAACTTTAAAGGGCAAGTTGGTAAACATTTTCAGCTTTGCAGTCTGTCACAGCTGTTCAGCTCTGCCCTTATGGCATGACCACAATCACTGACAACACAGTACTTAAACAAAAGTATGAAGAGTACATAATATTTCCAAGAATTCCTAAAATTCAGAAATCTTCCTTTATAATAAACATTCAGCTTTTCTTAAATTTCTGCCACCGAATCCTATATTTCTCCCTAGCAATTGTTAACACAGAACCAGTGATCCTAGGAGCACATAAGTTGAAAAATAAAACAATTTATAAACATCTTTCTGTGAGTTGTGACCATGACTAGTCCTCTGTTTATTGTCCTTACTAGCACTAATTTTTGAGGATTAATATACTACAAATTATTTTTATTCCAATTTTAYAATCCAGATTCCATGTTTTAAGTACATAAAGAAAGGCAGATAACCTGCTCCCTACTAAGACTTATCTATAGGCTACAATAAAAATCATTTTCTTTTTTATCAACTCAGAATGCTTAGACACTGAAAAATATAATCTAATTTTTAAGTTCTAATTAACTGGTAATATTGCAGATGTTCTAAGATATAACTGGTGGAATAAATCAGTTAAAGAATAACCATTATTGAAGCCATCTATCGCAAAACCAGAATTTTGTGCAGGACAGCCAAAGTTAACTGGTCACTGTATTATTTTGTCATCAAAWCAATATTTGATGACCCCCAAAACAATATTTGACCCCCATTTTGTAAGTTAGAAACCCAAGGTTAAGACCTCCAATTCTCTAATCATATATTCTATCTTGGTTATAGTCTCATAATCCTTGGAAAATGCATCCATTTTAGAATGCATTTAGAAAATGCAAACCATGATGTTAAATGTCCAGTTTGGTATATGAAAAGTTATATCAAGGAAATTCTTGAATTAACTGCATCTTAACTTTTTAGTTCCTAAAGAAGGTTTGAAGAGCCAAGAACTGTTTGATGAAATCAGAATGACCTACATCAAAGAGCTAGGAAAAGCCATTGTCAAAAGGGAAGGAAACTCCAGTCAGAACTGGCAACGGTTTTATCAACTGACAAAACTTTTGGACTCCATGCATGAAGTAAGTATCAAACAATAAAGTCAACTATAACAATAATTCTGTGRAACATAAGTATGTTTGATTAATGTATATAGTTTTACACATTAATCYACTTCAACCCCAGTTTGTAGATTTTGGTGATGTTTTGAGTTCAATTTGTGAACTTTGATTTTGCATACTTTTTACCTAAGTCCAATTATGAAATGTTATTTTAATCTTATATTTAAAAAAATCACCATGCTGTAACAGACTTTAACAGCACTGTTTTAAAAGGTGAAATTCYGTTTTTATATGAATGAGCTATTAAATTAGGAAAATATGACTTCTATATATTTATGATACTGCAGTTCATCATAAAATACTTAATTCCATATAATTCTACATATAATTTAAGGAATTTAAAAAGCCTTTAGTACTTAAATATTTATTTTACTTCACTAAACTTCTTTTCACCTGTAGAATTCCAGTAGAGATTCATATACTTCGGGTCAGATATTAAAAAATAAAAAAAGACYAGTGAGTGTGAAATGTTCACTTTTAAAGCCTAATCATTATTTTCTTTCAGGTGGTTGAAAATCTCCTGAACTATTGCTTCCAAACATTTTTGGATAAGACCATGAGTATTGAATTCCCAGAGATGTTAGCTGAAATCATCACCAATCAGATACCAAAATATTCAAATGGAAATATCAAAAAACTTCTCTTTCATCAAAAGTGACTGCCTTACTAAGAAAGGTTGCCTTAAAGAAAGTTGAATTTATAGCTTTTCTTGTACAAATTACCAATCTGTCATGTAGATGTTTTGTTGTTTTTTTCGTTTTTGTTTTTTTGTTTTTGTCGGTTTTCTTTTTTTCCTTATAAATACGCACTACATGTGGTTTATAGAGGGCCAAGACTTGGCAACAGAAGCAGTTGAGTCATCACTTTTTARGTGATGGGAAAGTAGACAGTCAAACTTACCAGGTGGTATATCCCAGAAATTAGAAACAATAATGTAAGGGCAATCTCTACTGTCAGAAAAGGATGGCACCTAAACCACCAGTGCCCAAAGTCCCTGTGATGAACTTCATGCTCATACTTTTCAGTTGGCTRGATAAATTTCTAGACTTTTTGTTGATGTATTTCCCCATGTATAGTTAGGATAGCATTTTTGATTTATGCATGGAAACCTGAAAAAAGTTTACAAGTGTATATCAGAAAAGGGAAGTTGTGCCTTTTATAGCTATTACTGTCTAGTTTTAACAATTTCCTTTATATTCAGTAAACTACGCTTGCTCATTTTTTTCTTACATAATTTTTGTATTCAAGTTATTGTACAGCTGTTTAAGATGGGCAGCTAGTTCATAGCTTTCCTAAATAAACTCTAAACATTAATCTTCTGTGTGAAAATGGGTTGGTGCTTCTAACCTGATGGCACTTAGCTATCAGAAGACCACAAAAATTGACTCAAATCTCCAGTATTCTTGTCAAAAAAAGCTCATATTTTGTATATATCTGCTTCAGTGGAGAAMTATATAGGTTGTGAAAATTAACCGTCCTAACTGGTATAGAGCACCTAAGTCCAGTGACCTACTGGGTAAACTGTGGATGATGGCTGCAAAAGACTAATTTTAAAAAGTAATAACTACCAAGAGGCCCTCTTTGTACCTTATGCCCTATCTCTGCAATGGTTAGGTGGCRAGAAAATTGATAATCTAATTCTTTTTCGGGACCTTTTGTAGTAGTTTGAATAACTTCTTAAAAGTTATAATTCCAGATAACAGTTGTAACACAGCTAAGAGATTTTTAATCAGACCAAGTAATTTTCTCTCATTAAACTTTACCCAAAAACTTAATCTCCAGTATGGCAAAAGTGGCTAGATACCCATTTTCACATTCCCATCTGTYACCAATTGGTCTATCTTTCCTGGTAATACAGGAAAGCTCAGCTACTGATTTTTGTGATTTAGAACTGAATGTCAGATTATCAATGTTTGTATAATTTCACATCCCTACGTGTGCCATAGAATTTAACACAAGTCTTGTGAATTTCTTCACTGTTGAGAATTGTCATTTTAAACAAAACAGAAGCTGTAGTAGCCCTTTCTGTGTGCACCTTACCAACTTTATGTAAACTCAAAACATATTTACTAAGCCACAAGAAATCTGATTTCTATTCAAGGTGGCCAAATTATTTGTGTAATAGAAAACTGAAAATCTAATATTAAAAATATGAAACTTCTAATATATTTTTATATTTAGTTATAGTTTCAGATATATATCATATTGGTATTCACTAATCTGGGAAGGGAAGGGCTACTGCAGCTTTACATGCAATTTATTAAAATGATTGTACAATAGCTTGTATAGTGTAAAATAAGAATGATTTTTAGATGAGATTGTTTTATCACGACATGTTATATATTTTTTGTAGGGGTCAAAGAAATGTTGATGGATAACCTATATGATTTATAGTGTGTACAAGCATTCATACAGGCAGCAGTGGTCTCAGACACCAAACAGATTTGATCTAGGGGAAGGAGATGAAAACTGGCCCCATGTTCAAGTGAAGGTGGGTGAGGCTCTGACCCAATCAGATCACAGAGGGAAGTAATCCTTGGCCTCCCATTCTGACCACCCTTCTCATTCTAACAGTGAGTCTGTCAGGGCAGGTTTGGTTTACTAAATCTCTTTGCACTGAAGTATGTAAGCAGGGGACAGAAAGGTGGTGCTTACATACYTAACAGGCACCATCTAAATAACAGGGTTACTTTCACATACAGCCTCTCCAACAGGTTAATAAAACCAGAGGCTTTAGAAGTTTGGCAATAATATGCACAGAGGTACCAGCAATATGTAAATAGGGCAAAATCTCTAGGATACCAATAATACACTAATTCCTTTCTACCCTACAACAAGAGTTCATTTATAAGTAGAATGAGGAACATGTTTGTTTTCTTTGAATGCTTTTGAATGTTGTTTGTTATTTTCAGTATTTTAAAGAAATTATTTAATAAAAAATGTAATCCTTTGCTTTTTGAATGCTCTCTAAAAGGGAATGTTCCTTTAGTAATGATTTAAATTGATCTCAAAGTTCTTAAGATATGGTTTGTAACCCAACTGGATGTGAAATTTATGGTGCCTAAGAAATACCACTTGAATATTATCAATGACAGTGTTAAGTTTCAAAAAGAGATTCTCAAAAGTAGATTATTATTCATTTATAGTATGTTATGGTTAAAACCAGAAAGCACATCACACATTAATCCTACTTCAGTCATAATCACTTTGGCTTTCAAAAAAACAGAGCTCAGAATTTGAAAAAACAGAATACGTGCACTTTATTGTCAACAAAAAGCCAACTGATATTCATAAAACAAGTATAAAAGGCTTTACATTAAATGGAAAAAGAAGTTATGCTCTTAGAATACATGAGAAAGAAGAATTATCTGAATTTTAAGCATAATAGACTTAWGTGAAAAGAAGAGTGCTGTTTGAAAGCAGCTTCATTTTCTACAGCGTGTCATTTTCGCCATCCATAACTATTAAGGTTYATAGTGACTTTCAGTAAGAGTCCATGGCATGCCTAGATGACTCATAACAAATCCTGAAAAATACTTTTAATTACTGGTAGAAAAAAGTGATCCTCTCAGTGTTTTTTAGGCATTACTGTGGGATACTATACAATCAGAACTGAGGAAAAGGACTTGAGCCTTGGGGATAGATACACACACACACACACACACACACACACACACACACACACACACACACCCATCTGTGTAAAATTGGGGAAGGGTAGCCTGAAGGAGCTCACCTGCCTTCTCTTGGGGGGGGAGGGTAACTTCACCACTCCAAAAGGAGAACTAGCATGATTGGTTAGTGTCTTCAAAGAGCATAATAATGAACACAGGATAAGACTCTGGGCAAGCACATAAAAGAAAGCCTCACTTCAGAATTTGGGAGGGCGGGGACAATGAGGGAGAGAAAGGGGAGGGGAGGAACAATTCCAATTTTACTTAAGTCTTATTTTAGTTCCCTTTTAAATATATTTTAAAAACTACATCTCCGTGAAATGAACAATATTTTTATASTTTGATTTGTCAAAATCCAATAATCATGGTAGCCATCAGTGAGATTTTTGATCTTGGTTGGTCACCCCAACAAATGTAGCTGTAGATGAATGTGTTTTTATGTGCCTGGTTTCAGTGAGGGAAGAGGAAATAAAAGTGTATGGAAACACTTTAAACCACTTTAGATAGAAGTTTTATTTTCCAGACTATTTTCAATTAACCTGGTCTAAGGATTAGTGACTAGGTTTTCAGGAAAGGATTAGCTTCTCTCTAGAAAATGTCTGAAAGAAGGATTTTATTTTCTGATGAAAGGCTGTATGAAAATACCCTCCTAAAATAACTTGCTTAACTACATATAGATTCAAGTGTGTCAATATTCTATTTTGTATATTAAACAAATGCTATATAATGGGGACAAATCTATATTATACTGTGTATGGCATTATTAAGAAGCTTTTTCATTATTTTTTATCACAGTAATTTTAAAATGTGTAAAAATTAAAACCAGTGACTCCTGTTTAAAAATAAAAGTTGTAGTTTTCTATTCATGCTGAATAATAATCTGTAGTTTAAAAAATGTCTTTTTACCTATGCAGTGAAATGTCAGACTGTAATATTTTGTGTGGAAATGTTTAACTTTTATTTTTCATTTAAATTCGCTGTTCTGGTATTATCAAACCACACRTTTGTACTGAATTGGCAGTAAATGTTAGTTAGCCATTTACAGCAATGCCAAATATGGAGAAACATCATAATAAAGAAAATCTGCTTTTTATCATGTGACTCCCACCATGCTTTTGTAGAACTCCAATTTTCCTATTTTCTCCCCTCTTTGTTCTACTGAAGGTYGTTACCACTTCAGGAACAGTGAGATGATAAAGTGGATATGTAAATGTCAATGTGGCAATGTATGCATGTGAATACAACAAATTCAAAATGAGCTGTAGCCAAGGACGCAAAGATTATTGCATTCATTCCTCAAATGGTGTGGCCTATTACTGCAAAAAGTACTAAAGGAAGGAAAAACTGACTTCTGAGGTTACTCCAAATGTGTCTATAATGAAAGATAACTTTTTACACAAACAAATATCTAATCAAAATTCTTAGTTTAAAATCCACTCTTTCTCTCAGAAGAAGGAATAAATGCCTAATAAATGTAGCAGTGTTGTGCAATACAGAACATAGAGGCTGGAGGGAGAGGACCCAGCGGTTCTATATAATCTATTCTGTATCTACTAAAACATACTATGTTCATGCCTTATCTACGAATTGGTGACCTGAAATTTTTTCCTATGAATACTTTTTTCCACAAGAGACTAATCATTAAGAAAAAAGTATTATGAYTTTAAAAACCAAATGTGCCTTATCCATCATATGTGCAATGAGCATTTGCTATATGACTACAATATAAAAATATGAAGTAAAAGAACACAGAGTTATTCTTCCTGATTCCAAAGATTACTATAAAATCACAATACAACAGCTGTACTAGTGTAAAAACAGACAAATAGATCAATGGAACAGAATTCAAAGGGGCCATAAATCATATCTTAATGAATTTAAAAGAAYGGAAATTATATTCTGTCTTCTCTCAAACCAAAACAAAATTAAACTAGAAATCAATAACAAAAAAAGCTATGCAATCAAAAAACGTGGTGATTGAACAATCTTTAAAAATACATGGATCAAAAAAAATCTGGAGAAATTTTGAAATATTTTGAGCTACATGAAAATGGACACGCAAATATCAAAATTTGTGGGTCACAGAAGAAACAGTACTTAGGAAATTTATAGCATAAAATGCATGTATTGGTAAGATTTAAAGATCTTAAAATCAATATCTAGGCATCCATCTTAGGAAATAAGGAAAAAACAAAATAAGCAGAGGTCAAGAACTAACAAAAATTGGAGAATCTGAAAGGGAAATCAATCAATAAAATGGAAAATGAAATCATTAGGAAAAATTTCTAAAACCTAAAGTTGGTTCTACACACAAAAAAWATCAGAATTAATAAGCCTATAGCCAGACTAAGGAAAAAAGAAGTCACAAATTACTATTATCAGAAATGTCAGAGGAAACATTACTACAGATCTCCTTGACATTAAATAGATAATCAGGTATATGAACCACTCTATATCTACAAAGTTGATAATAAAGATGAATTGAACCAATTATTTGAAAGATAAAACATGCCAAAACTCACATTAAAAGACAACCTGAATAGGTTTTTATTTATTAAAGAAATTGAATCAATATCTTCCAAAATAGAAAGCACTATGCTCAGATGGATTCACTGGTTAATTCTGCCAAAATTTAAGAGAGAAATTATTTCAAATCTCTGYAATCTCTACCATAGGATGTAATAAAAAGGAACACTTTTCCACTTATTCCAAGAAGCCAACATCACCCTAATAACAAAACCATATAAAGACATTATAAGAAAAAATGCATACCAATATCTCATGAATGCAGAGACAAAATTCTCAACAAAATATTGGTAAACCAAACCCAAAAAAATAATTACACAACATAGCCAAATGAAATTTATTCCAAGCATGCAAAGTGCAACATTTGAACATCAATTAAGTAATCTATCACATCTACAGGCCTAAGAAGAAAAATCATTTGATCCTATCAAGATGCAGAAAAATCACTTGAAAACTATCCAACATCCATTCATGATTAAACTTTTTAAACTGGAAACTAGAAATAGAAATGGCTACATGCTRCATGACTACAGTATAAAAATATGAAATAAAAGAATTATAGAGTTATTTAATAAAGAATTGTTTCCAAAGAAACCTACAGTTACATCACACTTGAGGATAGGAAATTAGATACAAGACAAGCATATCCCCTCTTGCTCTTTTGTCAATCTGTACTGGAATTGCAGGCTAATCCAATTAGGAAATAAAGGGTATACTGACTTGGAAGAAAGAAATAAAACTGCTCATAGATGGCATGGCTATCTATATGGAAAATGTAAAAGAACAAATTCATGGAACTTAAAAGAAATTTTAACAGGGTTGAGAGATACAAAGWGAAGATATAAATCACTTTCCTATATATCAACAATGAATAAGTTGAATTCTAAACTGAAAATACCCTCAAAATAAAATAATTATGTATAAATCTAATAAAAATGTATATCTATATAATGAAAACTACAAAATTCTGATGAGAGGAGTCAAAGAATAAAATAAACAGAGCAAAATTCCACATTCACAGAAAGGAAGATTCAATATTGTCAAGAAGTCAGTTCTCCTCATCTTGATCTATAGATTCAATGCAATCCCAATCAAAATCCCAGACAGTTATTTTCTGGATATCAATAAATCAATTCTCAAGTTTATATAAAAAGAAAAAGGCCTAGAATAGACAGTGCAATATTGAAAGAGAAGACTTACCATAAACAAGTACTAAAGGAGGTATAGTATTAGCAAATAATAATAATAATAATAATAATAATAATAATAATAGATCAATAACCAATGGAACACAACACAAAGCCCAGAAATGGACCCATGTAAATTTGTCAACTGATCTTCAACAAAGGAGCAAAGACAATACAATGAAGCCAAGAGTTTTCAACAAATGATGCTGAAATAACTGAATGCTGCATGCAAAGATGAATCCAGAAATAAACYTTATACTCTTAACCAAAAATATTTCAAAATGGATCAGAGACCTATATTTAAAATCCAAACCATAAAACTACTTGAAGAGGAGGAAAAAAGATGGAGGAGTAGAGGGAGGTTGCTACTTCCACTTGCTCTGTGACTCTGAAGCTAACTAGCAGGAATACTTCTTCTTAGTGAGGTGGGTAACAGGGAAAATTCACCAAATCTCAGTATTAGAATCACAGAGACAGAAATTTATGCAATTTGAACATAGGACAGGAAAGAATACCTAGGGAATCCAGGTAACAAGGCTGCAGCATCAGTCTACTGCTGAGAGGAGGAGAAACCCAAGAAGAAAGACAAGACTGGATTTGCAAAGAAAATTTGGCAAAGAGGAGCCTGTAGAAGAGAGGGGCGATCTGAAATTGAGTGTTCCTACTGACTTGTCCCTGTATGTGTCTGCCTGAGATCTAGAGTTCTCCTTAGAGGGGCTCAACTGAGGCAGAAACAGAGGGGGCTTGTGCCCGGGGGACTCAGGCAAGGATGCAGAAGGGAATGCTTCTTGCTTTCCCCTTGGGGTTTGGAAGCTTGTGGGATTAACCAGAGAAATCCCTGGACAAGAGGGCAAATTTGCACTACAAGTCTGTCCTGGGAAGATCATATTTGTAGGTGGGTGGCATGTATGAGATGAGCTTCAAGAGTGGAGCTCTCTGGGGCTGGGGACATGGCTCAAGCGGTAGCGTGCTAGCCTGGCATGCGTGCGGCCCGGGTTCGATCCTCAGCACCWCATATAAACAAAGATGTTGTGTCCACCAAAAACTAAAAAATAAATATTAAAATTCTCTCTCTTTTTTTTTTTTTAAAGAGTGGAGCTCTCACAGGACCCTCTCCCAGATTCAGATGCCCAACAAAAATCAGCATTTGCCTGGCAATAAGATAGGTGGAATTGTTTGCTCTAGAGTAGATACTTCAAGGCAAAGCTTGAAAAATCAGCCACAACTAAGCAGCAGCTGCCTGAACCTCACATACAGAATGAATGAATCAGTACTGCTCTTAGGAGGGCATCTACCTGGTTTGAACAGACAACACTCCAATTGTCATTACTTCCCATTTTGTCTCAACTTAAATCTTTGAGCAGGGATCCAGAGAACCAATACAACCAGCTTCAGTTCCAGGCCACTCCAGCTGACAGAAGATGGATTTAACAACCCCCAGTCCTGCTCTAAGGGGTGCACAACCCAAGAGGAAACTGAAAGACATTATTTTTGTCTGTTTTTTCTTTTTCTTTTCTCCTTTTTTCAATAAGTATGAATATGGCTGCAGGTGTTATAGCTGTGTTGACTGGCTCATGAATCTATGTATATCTTCATTTATTTCTCTTCTTTTTAAGTCACATTTTCCTTATATATTTCTTTTTTATTTCCTCAATCAGCTGTTATTTCACATTCTTTTGATCTCAGAGGGATAAGGCTTATTTGTGTGTTTTGGTCTGACTTTCTGTTTGACTCTCAATTTTTTTCTTTAATTACTCCTCCTCTCTTCCCCCTTCTATAAACAAATTCATTTGCCCCTCCCCCTTTTACTCTTCCTTTATAGGCATTCCTTATTATCTCTCTCCCCTTTTTAGTACCTTTCTTCACCTTTTGCATTTTAAACTTTGTTTCACTTTCCCAGTCATTTTCTTCCTTCCTTCCTTCCTTCCTTTTTCTTTTTTTTTTTTTTTTTTTTGTGTGTGTGTGTGGTGCTGGGGATTGAACCCAGGGCCTTGTGCGTGCAAGGCAAACACTCTACCAACTGAGCTATATCCCCAGCCCTCTTTATTCTTAATGAACTGTAATTTCACTGTCCTCCAGAATAATTTATATAACTGCTGACCTCCCTGCATTCATGCTGTAGCAATTATTAGCCATGGGAAAGGCACAGTTGACACCTGTTGTTTAATGCTAGATCTAGGTCATGGCAGTTTATCGTTGCTGTTATTAAATGCAGACCCAACCATTCCTCTTTTGCAGTGATTAGGATGTGCATGCCATAGTATACAGTGGACATTTGTTCTAATGCTGTATATTGACCACTATGATTGTTGCTGTTGTCTTGTTTCCTTTTCTAACAAGGGCTAGGAAGTGACTGATATAATACTGTAAGTTCACAGGGTAC